CTTAGAGCCATTTTCCTCCTTAGGAAGCGTCCTCAACAATATTTATTTATTTCCATACACTCGAGGTGTGCCCAAAAAAAAAATACACCATGAAAGGACCATGGCGGAAACTACAGATGGGCATAACTACAACTACAGAATATGAAGCGGAGTAGGACCGAAAGAAGGCAAAAAGGGGTGGAGGTGCGCCCTCTAGCCGCATGGGATTCTCTCGCCTTAGCACTCTTTTCGAGCCATCCCTTGCCGTTTCCATTGACTGCCCACCGTTTATCCATATCTGACGTATAGTGGGATATTAGTGCGAAGGTGGGTATTTTCTTCCGTCTAGTTGTGTGACACGCGCAAAGGTCACACAACAATCCAAAAGGTTCATTTGACTGATGACCTCTATCACATCCCGTTATAGAATAGCAATTACTGATTCGGCTACAATGTTCTCTGCTTGTACATACTTATATAAAGAAGTGATGATGCTTTCGCTGTTGATCACTGCTTTTTGGGGTACTGTACGCGCTCCACTTCTATTCAGAATAAGTGAATTATTGAATGATATGGCCCATACAACGACCTGCGGAGGCGATATATAAGGCAGCGCTTATTCCCTTCTAGACAAACCTGGTACCGATTTACAGCCCCGCAAAGTATGAAGCTTCGCTGGCCGAGGAATGAGCCGATTTAGGATTTGGCCTGCCTGCGCGGTAAGCGGGCAACTTCCCTCTATGATTAGGCAAGATGATTACCTGGAGTTGAGACAGGGATCAACGACGTGGTTTTGAAAAGGGTTTTTGAAGGCGCGTGGTGCTGTTAGTTTCCTGAAATTTGGTGTGTTCTTCAGCTCCGCTCGGAGGAGCGATCACGATACCATTTGTGTAACTTTTCCTCGAAGGGTTTTGTGAAAATATTCGACTTTCTATGATTCCTGGTTAGTGAATGAGCGAGTAAAATCCCCATGGAAGGGATGCATGGAGTCTGTGGCATGGTAAATGAGCGAGTAATCCCCATAAAAGGATCCATGTGAGTCTTGCTGGCATGCAGACATCTTATATTCATTTAGTACTGTATGACCTGTACCGCGTTGTCACTTCGGCGGCTTCTGGAGGCCTAATAATAACTAGTTTTTGTTTGTTTACTCAGTAACCATTCCAATTCATCCGGTTTGTTGTTATTGTTGGGATGGGTTTGAGTGATTAACGATCACAGTGTGTTCCTAATTCCGTCTGATTTGCCCGCAGTGTGATATTGACTGGTCAACTCGTCTGGATACGCACGGTTTTCCATGTCCTATACACTTTTCCTATCTATTCGTCTTTGCTTTCGTGGAGATCTCTTAACCAGTATATTTTAAATGACATTTGCTAACCACAAGCATGCTGAGGATGCATTTTTAATGGTAGTTTGAGATAAAGAGGGATAGCCGTTAACTGGTGTGTATGATTGGTTAGAGCGGGTGTCTAGGGTGACGCGCGGGCAAAAGTGCAGAATGTCGAGGGCTTATGGGCCTCCTGCCCCGGCGTGGACCCTAGGATCTAGAAACTACACGCGGTGAAACTAGTCTGTTACTGTCAATCAAGATGTGAAGTTAGGTTCTGGCTGAGCACGGGAGAAATCGGGTTAGAGACAATGTGCCCATGTTAGGCCATGAAATGCTTAAAACTCATTCAAGGTCTGGTATGAGAAAAGGACGTTTCATGTTGAGCATAAGTCGTCAGGGAACAGCGGGCAATCTATCAATCCTTCTTTAAGATCTCCTGTCTCTTTACAAGTCTTTTTGGAAATAATTATTAGGTTGGTGCATAAGTTCTTTCCCACGACTTTTTTGTAAATATCTCAATAGCGAACCAGCCTGAAGATTAGAGGTGTGCACCATCTACCATCCACTACTCGACGCCAACGCCTCGGCAGCTTGATCGGATTCCATAGTCACGAAGCGACGGGGGGCTGGCGACCGAAGAAGGCCACCATTGCCGCCCAATCACCACTGTCAACGTGTTTTGCACTTGGATAATTTCGGCATTGTAGCTCAAAGCAGGGGTGGGTGAGGTGATCCGCCGATGCTGATGAAAGAGTAATAACTGTACGTACCTACACATGACGACGTATACCAGCATCCATGCAAACGAGTACGGAAGAATCAAAGCAGGGTGGAAACAACTTATGCACCAACCTAATATAAGGAGTGAGGCTGAACCTTCTCTGGACCTGGACGATGTAGCTCGGGGGGTGGGGGTGGAGGGTGGTAAATGCAGCGGCATGACGAAATTCTCTCGCGTGCGCTCCGAAACAGGCTGCACTTCTGTACCAGAACCCCTGCAGAAAATAATTGCAAATGCCGGGACTGGACGTGGACTTGCTATGATTGTGCATTCCAGGTGACTCGTTAATGCTGACCGTAAGATTGAAGCCTTTGAAGCCCGAACCTAATTAAACTCCATACTCAGCCACAAGACTTTGCCAAAGACACCTTCGCAAAAATAAAGTATATCTTGTAAGCTCATGATACCTTGCAAAGAAAGCCTGCGTCAGCCACAATACTCCTGAGGAATCAAATGAGCCACCTTCCTGTCAACAACACCACCATTTTGCTGTTGCTTTGCGCTGTTCTAGGACTGAACCCATAAGCGAGAGGGGGTGGGATTGATTGATTGTATGCGGCCGCCTGTTCCACTCGTCCACAGTAGCGCCTCATTTCCTTGACCATCTACTAATCTCTGGCGCCTTTCAATTCCAGATTGCGTCGAATCCTGGGGTTCTGGATTATTGCTCGTTATTTCGATCTTACAACAATATCCTTGACGTTGATTCCACTGTGATGAATACTGCAGTGTTTAACTCCGTGGAACACTGCACTCCAAAAGTTTTTACTCTACAAGAAGACGGGCTTGGGCAAAAGGCGAAACCTCAGGCAGTACTTGAATCCTCTCATCACGCTTTTCTGTTACGACCGACTCCATTCTGATCCCTCTCAGTTCAATGAATTAGTTCAATAACCATACCTTTTTGACTGGGGAAGAAACTCGGTCGTCTTTGCTGCTGTGAGTTTTCTGCTGCGTTTTCCCAAACCGTAACTGCCCGTAACTTTCATAAAACGAGCTTGGAATGTTCTATTTAACCTCGACCTGTTAGCTCTTACACAGTTGCTGAAGCTCATCAGTCATCGACTTTTTTTCTAGGAGACACTACTCTGCAGTTCCATCATCTGCAAAAATGTCTAATTCTCCAAATATTCTTGGAGGACGGATGAGATTGAACGACGGTAATGAAATGCCGATGATTGGTTTGGGTATTTCGCGTATAAATGGCCAGGTATTATGAAATTTATTGCTAGTGCTTTTGCCAATCTATGCTGAACCGCTGATCGTCCAAACCAAATCTTAGTTACAAGTCACTTCAGCAGAGCATCAGTAATTCTGTCCGAACAGCACTGGAAGCCGGATATAGACTCTTCGATACCGCACAGCTATATGGAAACATTGAGGTGAATTAGGAGTAGCTCTGGAGGTACGCTCTGATCCTTTTATACTTAAAATTTACTATTTATTTATGCTGTTCTAAATATGCTTAGGGCTGCGTTCATACTTTGCGTCACCGTAAGCCAGCAGATGGCAGCGTTTCGAGCGTAAGCTGGCGACTAGAAAAGTATGGACATCGATCTAACGTATGCCAACTTACGCCAGCGTGCAGCAGATTTCGAGAGGCAAATATAGGTACCGATCTAGCGTATGCCAGCGTCCACCAGCTACAACCGCACCGTACATCTGAACTACATCGTGCATCAAGATAGCATAATTCTGTGCTTTTGCCGTTGTATGGTTCGGCTGCACATACCGCAGTTTACGACGCGTAATAAAGCAGTGTGCTACAATCCATCTTTCCTATACTCTCCTTTCCTTGAAGACCTGGCATACGCTGGCGTACGCTAAATCAATGTCTATACTTTCCTATCCACTCGAAAGGGCTGTAGTTGGTGTACGCTGGATCGATACTTATACTTTCCTGGTCGCTGGTGTGCGCACCTAACGCCTCAAACGCTGCCGTAAGCTGGAAGCAAAGTTATGAGCGGCAGTCTGAGGCGCCCGGCAGTAATCGTGTATACGCGCTGATCGGTGCGCAACTCTTCATTGGAAAAGTTTTTTACTCGTACCGAACGCGATTTTAGATATTAGTTGTTTTGCTCCTTGATATCAAGCTCTCCTGCGATCTTATGGGTCCCTGAATGTAGTACAATTAACACTTGCTCGGTCTTCTCGCGTGGTCCGACCGGTACCCAGTTGTAGGAGGCAACGCAGCGTCACTAAAGCGATGCTAATGCGGGACAGCACCGGAACTGAAACACACGAGGAATTTAGATTGTTGTTTGAGACTTTCGAGTTCTTCGGCGCATAAACTTTTTGTAAGCCTGTTCTTATAACAGAGTGAAAGCTCTTCTTTTCGCTCAAAGTTTATTGACAACGTTTCTAGGCCTAAGCTCTTCTTCAGGTCACTGAATTACAAAAACAAGTAAGATCTTGATAACTGCTTTGGTTTTGAAACTCCCCAATTTTGTTTTGTAGGAGTATTTGCCGAAGTATGGGCTGCAACGAGAGGATGTTTTCATAACAACAAAAGTACAAACAAAGGATGGAGATGCTACGATGTGGGCTGAAGAAAGTGTTTTGGGGTCGCTGAAAAAACTCAGGACTAAGTAAGTTGGTAATGAACATTTCAAAGGGGGAAAGGATCTATTTGCCATTTAATTTCTTGCGTCCACAATTGTTGGCAAGACTAGTTAAGCGAGCCTTGTTTGCTATGGGAGTGTGTCAGTGAGGTTGCGTTTGGTCCGCCACCGGCCCGTTTTCCACCACATGTTGAAACGGTAAGGGACAATAGTTGGTGGAAGCGACTGATGCGAACGATGTGGTACAATCTTGTCGCTTTCCGAGAGAAAAGAAGAAAGAAGCGGGTAGCGGGTGCCGCGTAACCCATCCCTCTGACACGCCTCATATGCAGCCAGACGAGAGAGATTGTACCATTGAATGACTAGAGAGAGCATGGAGTACGGCTGTGGAGTTGTGGGTGGAATTATATACCCTGTTTTGAGATACAAGGCGTTATTAGCAAGATTGCCGAGACGCGCGCGATAACGCATCGCGTGTTTCTCAAAAGATAGGCAACAGCCTCAAATTACAACGAAAAATTCGCCAGAAAGAGAAAGTAAGAAACATCCTGTGGCGTTAGAGGCAAAAGGTGCGCCCTATTCCATCGAATCGCCATTATACCCTGGAAAGTAGGTACGGTCTTGTTTGGTAGACTATTGGGCGGCGTCAGCGAGAGTGGGTTTTGGCGCGAGCCATATCTTTCTCCATCGTTCGGCGCAGCCATTCTTTGTCCAGGCTGGTTGGGAATGGGTTGAGCACCGTGCCACAACTAAGCCCGGTCTGCAACGCGCTCAACGTCTGCAACGAACAATAAGATTAATTATGCCAGACTGCACATCATTTCGTACTCTCTGGTATATTTGGTTTTTTCTTAATCTTGTTCAGGTATATCGATCTTGCCCTACTTCACTTTCCCAGAGATCGGTTTACGGGCTCTGATGATGCATATGAAGTTAATAAGAAAGGCAGAAAAGAAGTATGGCGTAAACTAGAGCAGCTCAAAGGTTTGTATATTCGTTGAATATGCGCACATCATTGTTGTGTGTAACTCCCTCAGAGGGGCGTATTTGGTCGCTAGGGGAGGCGGTATTGGTCTCAAGGAAATCACTTTCGCTTCTTGCTCGTGTAATCGGCGGTGCCGCAAAGCTACTGCTAATAGTTGTTTGGAGGGGCTTGCACACACCTCTCACCCACTTCCTCGCTCGACGGTGTCGTGCAGACACCGAACCTTAATGCTGTTTCCTTGATGTCCCAAAGATTCTCTCACTTCGCTCATATTTGAGTCTAAAAACATTCCCAATGATTGTCAGATCAAGTCAGATGAAATCTGGGTAGTGCATCACGTAAGTGAGCCCATGTCTGAATATCGTTTGCCAATTTGTATACGAAATGATGGAACTACCCTTGTCAGTAGGGATATCACCGGGGTGTGCAAAATGTGTTCGACTTATGTCCCGGCGGCCATGCGACCTCCTTGTTGGGTTCGGACAATAATGATGTACTCTACTGTTCAAGCAGCTAACTGCTTTTTCAGAGCGTGGACTGATAAAATCAATAGGAGTGTCTAATTATGAAGTGTATCATCTGGTCGAATTATTAGATTATGCGAAGGTTGTTTTCAGAGTTCTTCTACTCAATACATAGATGAGATCGTCCCATTTTCAGCACCTGCCTGCTGTGAATCAGATTGAGTATCATCCATATTTCACTCGTCAGACTCTTGTCAACTTCTGCAGGCAGAATCGGATATTTGTGCAAGTAAGCAACTGCTAGCCGTTCTATTTTATGCTGTCTTTGCAAAATGAATAAGTTTGTAACCTGGTCGATGAACCAGAAAAATTGTGGTAGTCTTTGAAGAAAAAGCTAACTGGAAGGCACGATCTCTATGAAGACTGTCGATCACATGATTCAGGCGTTTTCATCTTTGTTGTGGGGAAATCAAGAGATCCTTAAGGAACCCATCGTTAAACAGTTGGTTGAGAAGTACGCTGTTACACCACAGGTACTGCTGACTTTTCCCTTTTGATTCATCAATTTTAGTAAATACGGTTGCATTTCTGATGTTTATTTTAGACAATTCTATACGCATTTGCTTTGTGTTCTGGAATGGGGATCATTCCTAAGTCTGAAACTCCTGAACGAATTCGCGACAATTTAAATAAAGTAAAGCTCTAAATTGTTTTTACTCGAAACAAGTTTATATAACGAGTAGATTTCGAGCCTTACAAACATCCTGAAAGCTGGGTCCTTCTTGTATACAAGGTCAGCAAGTAGCCGTAGAAGGTACTACTCTTGCCAGTGGAAAGTGCGTAGCAGTGGTGCGGGAGGCGGTCGTATGGCACAGCTGTCACCTGTCCTACTGTTGCTGGACGCTCCTGACCATAACTACCACCTCGACCGAGCCTCTGCAGTCCTTCTCGATCGGACCACCGTTTCATTAACGCCATAGTTGTAGAGAAAGAGAAATGCAATAAAGAATATACTTATCGATAATATCATCGTTCATAGACACAATAACACGAGAGGAATGATCTGTTTGTCCATACAAATAGGGGGGGGGCTGCAAAAAGGGGTTGGGTGAAGAGTCGAAAATTAGCTCAGAAACGGACGAGAATGCGTTATTAAGTCAGTCATCAGTAGGACTCGGCATCTCTGCTGGCGTCTTGCCAGTGCTGCTCAACCATTTACCTGAACACGGTGATGTTGTTGGACGAGTTGTTGGGTCCAAGAGAAGGACTGCAGAGGTTCGGTGGAAATGGCAGTTATAAGGTCAGTGGCGTCCCAGCAGCAGTACGAGTACGTCAGTTGACAGCTGCGCCATCCGACATACAGCCCAGTGGTGCTTGAGGCTTTTGATAGAGTGGTGTTATTTATGTCTCCGCCCACCACTCGACACGCCATACGATCATGTGTACGCGCTAAAAGTGTGAGATTTGACCCCAACACTCTTGGTGAGGGCATAGTCGAGTAGAATGCATCATGCTGACGTATGGCGTGTCGAGTGGCAGGCGGGCACCAAGGAACATCAAGTAGACAAAAGCTTTCGTAAAAATCGCTGACGAGCACTTCTTATTGTGAAGGGCGAAAGTTGTGTTCTTCCGTAGCTACGAAACTATTAGGTTGTCCGGAAAGTTTTGAGAAATTTTTACACTTTCATTTTGAAGAAGTGTAGCAAGCGAATGCCTCAACAGAAAGTCATACATCAAATGCTATGTGAAAGAGAAATGTTTCCTAGAGCAATCCTAATTCTGCTTGGTGTTACTCTCCATTGTTGGTATGAGTTAACATCACCTGAAAATGTGTTAGCGCACACGACTCCCAACGCCTTCTAATTCATCTTCACCGTTCTGGCTGCTCATTCGGTCAAATCGGGAACAAGGCACCGTTTTCGACGCCGAATAAAATAGGCTTGAAAATGATCTGTAATGGGAGATCGCTTGGTTTCTTACATGGAAGTTCCGCTTAGATGTTGAGTACGCCCCGCATCCTCGGTTCTCACCTCGTTGTAGCTCCCACGCAGTGTAACCCAGCCCAAATAAGGGAATTGGGATGAGCAATCCTATCCAACTGCTCCGCTAAGTGTGTGTGTGTGTGTGTGTGTGTGTGTGTGTGTGTGTGTGTGTG